TCTAATATGATTTATTAGCATTTCTTTTAGTTGTATAGCAGCCATGGGGTTTAAGGCATTTCCCATGCATTGTTCATTTTTGTTGTTTTAATAGCCAAGTTAATGATTATAATCATGGTAATAGCTAAGGTAATTATATCTATGTTGTAGGCACAATCCAAAGCACTTTATAAATGTTAATTTGGTTAATCATCACAACTCTATTCAATAGGTACTACTATCATTCCTTTATGATTATTAAGGGACAGAGAAAAGGCACTGAGATTTCAAAAACATGTATCAGGTCACCCAACTGGTAAGCAGCAAAGCTGAAATTCGATCTCAGGCAGTCCAGTCCCAGAGTTCATGTTCTTTATCACTGTATCGTACCATTCATGTTTCAAGTGAGAAAACTGAGGCTCAGAGAGCCAATGAACTAGTTAGAATCGGGAGAACTAATATTGAGCAAAATCTACTGCTATTTCCACTATGCCACATTTTCCTTCCAGTGAGCTTCCCATCAAGTCCTGTTCAATAATTTGTGGGGCAGTTAATGCAAATGAGAGCTCTCCACCCTTCCAGGGTGTCCTTGTGGAACTGGGACAACAAGTGGGGAGAGACTCCATCTAGGGGCCACTAAATATAGTGTAGCCTTGATTACATACATGATATTCAAATCTTATACACTCTTTAAAATAATTCTGCAAACAAGTATACCCCTCAGATATTTTTAAGTTATTGACTAAAATTTATTCTATGTTGTAAAAATATCATTCCTGTTGTATTAAAATATTCACATTTAAAATTGAAATGTGATTCCATTGCAACTTAATATAATAATCCAGCCAAAAGCTGTGGTATGTACTTTGCTAATAGTTAGAAATTTTCTATCTGACCTCCCTTCTTGAAACCATATTTTCATTTCCTATTGCTCACAAAATTGTGTTGCAATGCAATACATTTTATTCCTAAAAGCATTTGATTGATCTTCACCCACAAAAAATATAAATTAAGCCACTTTCAAATTTTTTTATGACTCTAAGATCCTGAGGGTTAAAATATGTTTTGGATTGAGTGACATTTACAAATATTATTAATGCACAATTTATAAATAATTGCTAACCACGAAAGTGCACAGAATTGGAAATGCATTTGTTAATTAGAAAGATGGAAAATTTTTTAACTCTCTTAGTTTATATAAAACTTGTTTGTTACTAAAATGAAGCAGGAACCAGTATTGATTGTATTTGTTTGGGGTTTTCCCCCATTTTTTATAGTTGTAGATGGTGAGAAACTGTATAGTAATTCCACTCAATTCTTTGAACACCTTCAGGTTATTTGGCAAAAGTACATTGTGATCTATGACCCAAAATGATTTTGATGAGCAATCAAATGTTTATTTTCTTCACAGTCTTTATCAGACAAAAGAATTATATCCTTTGTTTGTTTCTGTTAGTCTCCCCTCCTGCCTCCCTATCTATATATCAAGATACAGATATTATAAAAGCAGGAATCTTGTCTGTATGCTTTGGACTAGTGTCTGGCACATCGTAGGTGCTTAAGAAATATTTGTTGAACAATGCCTAGGGCAACGCAAATTAAAAGGAAAGGCAAGTACAGTGATTCTGTTAGGACAGGGGATAAGGGAAGATTGGATGTGTAGGTGATTGTGATCTTCATGATCTCTACTGTTAAAGCTTCCTTCTTTACCATGAGTAGTAGCTTCTCTGAAGCGCTATTGTTGCCGCAGAACAGGAATTCTTCCCCCATCCCCACATGTGCAGTGAGGACAGCTAATTTTCCTGTATCTCTGGCCTCGGGTACCTTAGCAGACTTCCCTCTATCCTGTCTTCTGTAGATTCTCTTACTAGATTCCCCAGTAGGCTGAATGGCCACCTGTGGTGTCCTTGGGTGATTTTGGTGTGTCTGGTGTTTCCATGAAATTTGGTTCATTCCCCAGCTCTCTGTAACTTAGACAAATGCTTCTAGAAAAGTTCCAGTAATACTTAACAATACCACACTTAACATTTTCATGCTATTGGAAGGTCTACAAATTAAAATTTCATATCTAATTTTTATAATTACCATGGGTTCATGAGGTGAACACCCTTAATTTAAAGGTGAGAAAACTGAGGCTTAGGAAGGTAAAAATCACATGCCCAATGTTACATCATCCTCGGATGGCTGAGTATGAGTTTTAATGCCTCAACTAGCAATAGTATAGATTTAATTTAAGTCCAGCTTGGTTCAGCAACAACTTATCAGGGAGACTACAAAAAAATAGCTTAATGTAACTGAGTTTTAGCTGACTCAGTAAAAGCAACCATTAAGACCATTTGATGTCAGAAGGAAATTATTATGTATAGCCTTAACACTCCGCAGTGCATTATTTTTTCTGCCATGAAGCAGTATTAGTATTATTCCCATTTTAAAGATGAAAAAACTGAGGTATAACATAGCAGAACAGCATAGTCCTCAAGAATCTGGGCTTTTGGCCAGGTGCGGTGGCTCATGCCTATAATCCCAGCATGTTTGGAGGCCAAGGTGGGAGGATTGCTTGAGGTCAGGAGTTCAAATCCAGCCTGGCCAACATAGTGAAACCCTGTCTTTACTAAAAATATAAACAAGAAAAATTAGCTGGGCATGGTAGCAGGCATCTGTAATCCCAGCTACTCAGGAGGCTGAGGCAGAAGTATCACTTGAACCCAGGAAGCGGAGGTTGCAGTGAACCAAGATCATGCCATTGCACTCAGCCTGGGTGATAGAGAAAGACTCTGCAAGAAAAAAAAAAAAAAAAGAGAGAGAGAGAGAAGAAAAGAGTATGAGAGTGTGGGCTTTGGAGTCCAGCTACTTGAGCCAGATCCTGGCTCTATCACTAACTAGCTAAGTAACTTTGTGCAAATTATGTAATACCTGCCAGGCACAAGGTAAGAGTCAATATAATATATGTCATCCAAGGTTGGGCAATTTTTCCAAGGCCTCAAACAAACCATGATAGTGCCAAGGTTCAAAGCTAATTGGCCAGTTTGGTTTTGAAGACCATGCTCTGTACCATAACACTGTTATAGAGCCAGAAAGTCAGAAGATGTCAGAAAGATAAATATGAGAGGCAAAGAAATGCTGGAGGTTTGAGAAGCTGATAAAAAGTACAGGCAAGAGAGAGAAGAGCCACTTGTCGCACATCAGGGCATTTTACTGTTTGTCAAGAAATTGAATTTCCCTTAGTTGTCCTTTCCAAAGGTTCCAGTAAAAAATTATATTTCTCAAGAATGCTTTTTTTTGCCATAATGACATTTCTTTAGAAAGCAGTACTGTTTCTAAAATAGGACCCAAGGCAGCCCAGCTTCATTTGGGTTAAAAGTTCTAAAAGAATCTCAGCAGTTCACTATGGTTAGAGCCTCCAGTGTAGGGTATTGGAAAGAAGGGGCAGAAATTAATTCCTGGAGCAAACACCACCGTGTGTTTCCTAGGTGGTGATATGGTCTACGTGCTATAGATCCTCATTCTGTCCTAGGCACCGACCAACCAACTGGTCAAGGTATCAGCTCACTAAGGGTGGCCAGGCAGAAGCAAGCTTTCTTCTCTGTTTCTGTCTATTCTCACCTCAGAACCCATACTAATTAGGACTCCTTTTCTCCCCAGGAAACTTTATTCAAGAAGCCCCACTTCCCCTTCCAAGGTAGGTTGGTTCCTGGAAATATTCTTGGCCTGGAAAAGATAAATGGCTTCCTATTTTCAGCTGTTGTTAGGTATTATTTGTGGCCACCTGCTAGATGCCAATAAACAGACTCTGCATGAAACAATAGCCTTTTTGTCTTCCAAAAACTAGCTTTTCTCTTAGCCTGTAGTACCTATAATAACAAACCTAATACCAGCAACCATATCTATCATGCACTATACAATCCTGACATTTGCTTGTTGAAATGAATCCTGTGTTTTTGAGAAGGTCACCTCACCTGACTTCAGTCGGGGAATTGCTGTGCTGCAGAATGTGTGTGGTCTCTTTTCAGTTTGGAGATTTATAAATCTGGTATGTACCATGAGATCCCTTATGGTTCCTCAATAAAATTCTATTGTTGTTTATTGTTTTCAATAGGAAAAATGAGAACTAACATTTCCTGGACATTAACTATATGCCATTTTACTTACTGTATACAGAATATATAATCTTTACCAAAAAGAATGTGAAGTATGTATTATTCTCATTATCCCCAATTCATAAACAAGGAGACCAAAGTTTAGGTAGGTTAAATAAATTTCCCAAGGTTACTCAGCTCAGAGTAGAGGAGGAAAGATGTAAACCCAGCCCAGACTACTCACGCCAGACTACTCACTCCACTACGTGGAATTACTCTCTCATGTTACACATGAATAGGAGAGTTCAATTTACCTTTGTCTATGTATTTGGGGTTAGAGTTTTCGTAGTAAAGCATATTCAGTGGCCTGAATTTCTAATCATATTCCTAGGAAAGATAGGGATCTGCCTGTCAGGTTCCTGCATGATAGTGGCAATGGTGGCATTTATATTCAGTGCACATAAAAAAATTGCCTGGAATGATGTTCTCCAGATTCATCCATGTCCCTACAAATGACACAAACTCATCATTTCTGATTGCTGCATAATATTCCATGGTGTATATGTGCCACATTTTCCCAATCCAGTCTATAAACACTGGGGTCTATTGGGTGGAAAAGGGGAGGGCCAGCGGGAGGGGGAGCTGGGGAGGGATAACCTAGGAGAAATGCCAAATGTGGGTGAAGGGGAGAAAGGAAGCAAAACACACTGCCATGTGTGTACCTATGCAACTATCTTGCATGTTCTGCACATGTACCCCAAAACCTAAAATGCAATTAAAAAAAAAAACTTTCTACTTGGCAGGAAAAAAAAAAACACTTGCCTGGAATCTTCTTTTTGGAAGGTTGAAGAGTATAATCAATAAGTTGTGAGGTGGAATTAAGAGAAACCAGTTCATTTTACTTACAAGGTGAGAGTGGTTTATACTAGATTCATGATTGCTCACCAGGTAACAGCAGTTGTCAAGATCTTGTATTTTTCTGTGGAAATCAGGAAACTGTAAGTAAAAGAAATGAAGATACCTGAGATACAAGACAAAAAAGAGATATTAGAATTAATAATTTATAGGATAAGGGCTTATAGATGAGAATCTTGGGGAAAAAGAACAATGCAGAAGTTTGTCTGAGCAACACACACTATCATCACTATCATCACCACCACCATCATCATCCTCATCATCATTATCTTCATCGTTGTCATCATCACCATCGTATGCACCTCTGTCCTAGTTTGGGTCTTTCAGAAGCAGATGCTGAGAAAAGGATCCTTGTGAAAATAGTATAGTTGGGAACTAAAAATAGAAAACTGGGAAATAGAGACAGGTAAGGCAATAATTACATGGAATGTTATCAGGCAGGCAGCTATTACTGTGGGCAGCTGAGCTTACTGCCTCTGATAAAACTTTGAAAGCCAGTGAGGGAGAAAGCCTGGTCACTGGTAGAGAGATGATGAGAGGTTATTAATTCCTAGGCACGTTTGGTCTACTATGAGGGAACAGTGCCTTAGAAACTGAATAAAACTTTCAAAAGATAAACAGGAGGTGCAGTTGGCAGCCAGTCATCCTGCACTGAAGAAGAAAGGGAAGAAGGGTTGGGGAGGGTCACTGAGAGCATCTGAAGCAATTTTGCTTTTAGGGGGTAAGAGACAAATGGAAGCTATCATGTACTGAATGATTAGAGTTCATTTTATTTTCACTGTGTAGAAAATATGTATTATTGTTGGCATTTCAGAGTTAACAAGAGGTACAGAGAGGTAACATATTTGTTTATGTGGGATTAGTTGGTAAGTGCCGCAGCTGGGAGTTGAATCCAGAGGGACTGACTCAAACCTTCCATCTTCTTCCATCTAACTGTGCAGACTGTAGCCTCAGGTTCCTTAACCTATTAATTTCCAGCTCCATCCCTCTTGTTCATGACGGATATTTTTATCCAAAAAGGATCCAATTTTCTTCTAGTGAATTTCCACTGTCCTTGATTTGCATTTTTTCCACGTAGGATTAGTGATAATAACTACTACGGTTAGCACACTCCTAAGCTCCTTACAGGCTTGTCTTACTTAATACTCCCATCAAACTTGTAGGGTGAATACTGTTATATTCTCACATTACCAATGAGGAATCCATAGCACAAGGTGATGAATATCTTGCTTAAGGTCATATATTCAGTGAATGGCAAAAACATGGTTCAGCCCTTGCTTAACCACGATGTTCTGCTGTCTCCTTAGTTAGAAAGGTTTGAAATAATAAAGTTGTGTGTAGACTGTGGCACATGGCAATTCCAGGAACTACCTTTAAAGTGGAACAGGTTTGTAATCATAGCCAATCCAGGAAATGGCAGAACTTTATCTCCATTCTCAGTTTTTATTCAGAGCATCTGCATAGAGAAATACAATGATTTACCTCTTTCTTTTGGGTGAGCATGCCCACATCTGAGCTCTTGTTTTAAGGCATCATTAACATGGTGACAATGGACTTACAAATGTTACATTTTCTATAAATTTTCACCTGAGACAAAGCACCCTTGGCCTTGATAGCCAGTCTGAATTCTAGATGATGAATCTTTACTTCAAAGGATTGAAAGGGAGAGATTCAGTAATTGAAATATTCATGTACTTGCATTTATTTATTTATTTATTTATTTGAGACAGAGTCTTGCTCTGTCACCCAGGCTGGAGTGCAGTGGTGTCATCTCGGCTCACTGCAACCTCTGCCTCCGGGGTTCAAGTGATTCTTCTGCCTCAGCCTCCTGAGTAGTGGATTACAGGTGTGCACCACCATGCCCAGCTAATTTTTGTAATTTTAATAGAGACAGTGTTTCGCCATGTTGGTCAGGCTGATCTTGAACTCCTGACCTCGTGATCTGCCCACCTCAGCCTCCCAAAGTCCTAGGATTACAGGTGTGAGCCATACCACGCCCAGCCCATGTACTTGCTTTTTTTACCTCAAATTTCAGTAGTATATTTTTATTATATAAAATATTGAGATAAAAATAAAAACAGCAAGAGTAACAAGTTCAAATTACCTTTAATCACATCATCTCTCTTCTTTTTAAAACAGCAGGTGGGGTAAAGAGCAAGAGCAGGTCTTTGACCATCATTTCAGACTCAGTAGTAACTACTGGCAACATTTCCACTTGCCAGTCCCTTTTTACCTCTGTGATCATACAAATATACATATGTGCCACGTACGTGCATATACATCATTAATAGCTTTTTTCAAAAAATGGAAATGTGGTCATGCTTTTTGTTTGCTTAAAAATATCCCATAGACTTCCCTAAGTCAGGATTTATAGATTGACTTAATTTTATTTTGAACTCTTGAACAATGCTCTGTTACATAGGTAATAATTTATCTGAGCTATCTCTTGCTAATAGACATTTGCCTTGTATTGCAACATTTGCTGCAAAGATCATGTTGGTGTATTCTTTTATACTCCCCAAAGAGTGTCTTTTTAGAGCATGTAGCACTTGCCTGAAGATATCAGGTGGTTGTTTTTTTCTCTCTTCCATTAAGTAGGTAATGAGTATTTTGTTTACAGATTTCCAGCCCTTTTACAAACATTTCCTGCTTCTGATTCTAGTTTAGACGCCCATAACAAATAGTATTAATGTATGTCTTAAATTCTTAAAAGAAACAGCATGTCAGTATTCTCATTCTAATGCCCAACAAAGAAGTAAACTTAATGACCACCTTTCACCTTTTTCTATCTTTTCCCCACTGCCTAGGTCCAGCCTCCCACCTTCTCTAGGGCCAGCCCTGAGTCCTTTGGGGGTTTACAGAGACCAAACACTTGGAAGCCATTGTTCAAATGAATTAAAATATGCTTCCAAGAATTCCCCACCCATCCCCCCACACTCCTCCCCATGCATACACAAAGGTCCAACTCTTTGAACAAAGGTTGCATCTGCAAAAAGCTTCTTCAATCTTGAAGAAACAGACTTTCTCACTGAGCTCTCCCCTGCACTTAAAATGGAAGCCAGTAGAAAAGATCAGCCTGAAGCATCTCACACTCTCTCCACACCTTCCAGCAGAAGGAGAGAAATCCCAGGTCCCAACTTATCTGGGTCCTGGAGACCCAACCTTCTTCTCAGCTGTCTCCGTGAGATCTGAATATTGGCAGGTCTGGGAAGAAGAGAGGTAGGGAGTGTGAAGACCTCCCAGTGGCTGGGGAAAGGGGAACACCTGGAAGGGATGGATAAGGGAATTCCACATCTGGCCAACCTCTCCCCCACGAAGAACCAAGTTAGAAAGGATGTGGAGATGGGGTGGGGAGGGGAAAGTGGATGAGGACTGCACTTATTATCCTGGAAAACCTCAGCTTCCTGTACTGAGGAAAACCTCAGTACAGCGAGGCCTATGAGATGTCTCTAGTCCCTTTCTCTCTCATTTGTGAGCAAAAGGAGTTTCCAAGAAAAGTGGTACCTGAAGGACGTGGGATACCTTCAAATCAGGCCTCCACCCTGCCGTCTCCGGGGCCTCCGCGGCCGTCTCCTCCCCTCTGTCTGAGCATTGCCTCTCGGCACGGCAACTGAGTTCCCAGAGAGGGGCCAACCTCGATCTCCATCGGGCGCCCCTTTCTCATCTCTCGGGTTCTGATTCCTCCTGGGTGTTTAGCTCAAGGCTGGATTCTAGCAGCCTAGAAGACACCCACCAAGTGTGGGTGGAGAGGACGCAGAGCAAGAGAGGGCCGATCCGATCTGCAGCCACACTCCATGTCCTCCGAGTGGAACTGCAGACGCCACAGCGCAGGAAGGGTACAAGGGCCACAAGGCGGGAGCTGTCCGTGGTTCTGACCGGCGTCGCCGCGTGGGTATTTAAAGGCTGAGGTAGCCCGCCTACCTTCTGCTAAACCCAAGGGAGGAGTCATTGGTTTTAATTAACCCACTCATAGGCAAGGTCTGAGAGCCGCGTTTCTGCGCCCTTTGCAGCGCAAACCACTGCTGGGGCAAATCTGAAGGTTTCTTTTTGGGTACTTCGTCAGTGCCATTTCTCTTTGAGGACTTAGAAAACTTTATTTGGATACCTCTCATTTTCTAGTTTCCCCTATCCTCCAGAATGTATCCACCCCCGCCCGTTCTCTCCCCTGCCCCACAAACGAATCTAGACAGAAAAGCACAAAATGAGGGCTGCAGTAGCCAAATGGTCATTCCCAGCTTTACTCCTGATCTCCAAGCAGTCATGCTGGCCCTGGGGACTCTGAGGCAAACTGAGTATGGGACTGGTTTTAAACCCACCGTCCTGGCCTGTATGTTGACAGGATGCAACCTTAAGTCCATCAAAGGGACATATAAATTAAATGTTTAGAACGGTGAGGATTGAATCTCTTGAAATGAATGGAGTACGTTTCTGGTTCCATCTAAGCTGATCCTAAGCCAGGACTGATGCGTGGAAGGCGCTCCCTTTCGGATTGGAGCGCTCCTGGGGAGGGAAGAGAAAAGGAGGTCCAGGAATCCAGTGGTGCTTTGGAAAAAAGACTAATCTCCTAAATCAATGCCACGTGGTGGAGCAATAGAGGCTCTGCTGCATTGCCCTTATAGCAGTCATTTTAATGTGTCTAGTCTTTCACTGAGCCTGAAGTAAATGCTCAAATAAATACTTGTGGAATTAAGCCCAAAAAGTTCAATAATTTGAACTTTAAAACCTTGTATATTAATGGATTATCTTTCCCCCTTGTCAAACGATACACCTGGTGGCAGATTTTGGCAACTTTTATTCTACAATCCTTTAAAGAGTGGGGATGGAGCAATATTCCTGGAGCAATGGGGTGCTTTCTCATCTCTTCTTAGTATTTAAGGGACACTGGTTTGTCTTACTCTATTTTGCAAGAACTGTCTCTTAAATTGGCTTTTTCTGTAGGGTGCAAAGTGCCCAAAGGGTGAAATGGCCACAGTGCCTGCGACTTTTATTTTAAAAATTGTTCTCCTGCTCCTGAAAACACAACAAACCTCCCAGATCTCAATCTCCAAAATTAACTTAAAATTAGGCAGCAAAGTGAAGCCACGCTTTCTTTTGCTGGTTCCTTAGTAAAAACTACCTGTCTGTAGGATGAGCTATTTTTTTAAAATCAATGTTGTTTATGTTAAAGTGTTAACTATTTCATAAAACCTGCACTGCACAATACCCCCAGCTGAAAGAAGTGTATTAGTCTATTCTCATGGGGCTATAAGGAACTGCCCAAGACTGGGTAATTGACTCACAGTTCTGCATGGCTCAGGAGGCCTCAGAAAATTTACAATCATGGAAGAAGGGGGGAATAAAACATGTTTTTCTTCACATGGTGGCAGGAGAGAGAAGTGCAGAGCAAAGTAGGGAAATGCCCCTTATAAAACTATCAATGCTCATGAGAACTCACTCCCTATCATGAGAACGGCATGGGGAAACTGGCCCCTTGATCTAATCACCTTCCATGGGGATTACAATTCAAGATGTGATTTGGTTGGGGACACAGAGACAGATCATTTCAAGAAATGTCTTTAGCAGTAGAGCAAATGCTGACTTTTTGGAGGTTATGATTTTTAAGTCTGGTAATGCTGCAGCTCCATGAGAAAAAGGAGATTGCAAAATGAAGAACAATGTTTGAAATGAGGGTAAAAGAATGAAGGTCTATTGCCTTGAGCTTCAAATCTGAAATTTCAATTTCAGTCTCTAATGTTGCCATTTTCAAGATACAATTTCAGTTTTGTAAATTTTTAGTTTCAAGTTGATGCAAATTTTATTATTTAATTGTTCATAACACCCACACATGTGTGTACATGTGCGTGCATGTGGGTGTATGTGTGTGGTGTGTTGAAAGGTTTAAATTCTATTTAGTTACAACTCTTTTCTTAAATGGAAGCTTCTTTACAGTTGTCATCTCTTTGGGAAAAGTGGTCTGTTGGGATTATGTTGCTGGACCTAGATGATCAGAGTAATGATAACCAACTCTTATTTGAGCTTTAAATAAGAATAATAAATATTTAAAATTGTTAGATGATACTGGAAGTGATTGAGGGCTTCCAAATACACAATATGTTATTTGTGACAGCCTTATGAGACAGACGTGCATCTTCTTCTTACAGATAACAAATTGAAACTTGGGGAGATTAAGAGTCTATCTAGATAGGTTCAGCTTGATAGAAAAACTGCCATTTGAATTGGAATCACCAGAGCATCCTCCTGAAAGATGCTGCATCTTTCTATTTCTATCCCAAATTGTAACATGTAGGAGAGTACTGCTCTTTAAACAAAAAAAAAGGTACCAGAGTTTTGTCTGTGTAAAATGCAAGACCTTGGACATTGTCATTAAAAAGATAAATGACATAGGTTTTCATTCTGTCTTTCCTTTATTCAGCCAAAATTTATTCAAAGCTTGCTGTAAGCAAAATGATTGTCATAATCTTGTTTCCTGGTCTTCATACTAACTCATTCACTTCCCCTGCCTGACTTTTGCTCCATAAAAAGATAAGCTTTTGTCTGGGCATGGTGGCTCATGCCTGCAATCCCACACTTTGGGAGGCTGAGACGGGTGGGTCACTTGTGGTCAGGCGTTAGAGACCAGCCTGACCAACATGGTGAAACCCCCTCTCTACTAAATACAAAAAAGTTAGCTGGGCATGGTGGTGTGCACCTGTAATCCCAGCTACATGGGTGGCTGAAGCAGGAGAATAGATTTAACCCTGGAGGCAGAGGTTGCAGTGAGTCAAGATGGTTCCACTGCACTCCAGCCTGGGCAGCAAGAATGAGACTCTGTCACCAAAATAAATAAATAAGTAAAACAAAACAAAAAATAGGCTTTCAGGCTTACTACCTGGTCCCTGCCCTCAGTACTGGCACCAAGTGTGGGTGCTGTCCTCGGTGCTGAGAATTTCCATTCTGGAAGGCACAAATAGTGTGCTCTTCTCTCTCTTTGCCCCAGGCTGATGTGCCTTGTCTTAGAAGCCACTTCACAGTCACAAAACCTCTACTGTATAACTCCAGGCTGCTCTCCATGTGGGAAAATTAACAGTTGTTTTTCACAAGAGGTACTTTAAAGAGACCCTCCTGCCTCCTTGGCTTTCCCAAAAGCATTCTAGGAACAGGAAGTTTGGGAAAGTTTCTGCTTCCTCCTTTTCCACTCTCAAACTTGATTTATTTTGTTAGGCCAAGGAAACAAAGCTCATCTACCTTCACAGATTTTGGGCAGTTGGCCAGAAGCAGTATTTGGCCACTGCAGGAGCTAGGAAGTCTTTCTAGACCAACAGTTGCCCTTTGCAACCAAAGTAGTTGTTCCAAGCTAATATTTTGCTTTAGATGATTTTGATGCCTGGGGGCTCTCTAATCAACAGCTTTAAAATGTGTTCTACTCCAATATATGGCAGGGTGAGTCTTAGGGAATGAGCAAACTAATAGAATGAATGGCTTCTCAAAGAAATCCATGCTTTTGAAAAGAGAGACATGAGGGAGAAACTCAAAGACACGAATGAACATACATCTTAGTGCTTCCTTTCTAAATCCAAATTCAGTCCTCCCAGGCTCCTCACAAGAAAAGGTAAAAATTATCCCTTTGACACAACTCACTCACTTACCATACATTTGCAAGGTAAGATTGTGGGACAAGACAGGTCTAGCTAACATTTGTTTAAGAACACTTTGAAATAAAGAAATCCCAAAGAGGACCAAGTTTCTTTTCAAACAGGTCTTCCTTAATTTATGTCTACTTCTAGGAATAGTAAGTTATAGGCATCCAGTATAGAAAAAATTTAATAACATCAGTGAAAGATGCTGATCCACTTACTTCCTCTGGGCAACATGTACCACCTAAGAATGATCTAAGGAAAAATAAGTACTACAGTTCAAGCTTAATTGCTATTTATCTTTTATTCATTTAGGAAAATTAAAAAGTTAACAGACTTATAATTTCTTTAGTAATGTTTTCTTGTCTTGGTAACTTAAGAATCCCATCTCTCAGAGAAGCACATCTTTTTTAAAAAGCTGTAGAATTTACAAATACAAATTGTATATATTTATGGTGTATAATGTAGTGTACATATATATGTGCATATACATATATGCATAATATAGATATACACACATATATATGCACACACACACTGTAAAATAGTTAAAACAAGGTAATTAGTATATCCATCACCTGACATATTTATATTTTTGGGGGGTGAGAACATTAAAATCTATCTTAGCAACTTTCAAGTTTCAAGCAATTTTACTTTTGAAATTGCACAAGAAATCTATTAAAAGGCAGTGACCCCGTGTGTGTGTGTGTGTGTGTGTGTGTGCGCGTGTGTGTGTGTGTGCTGAGGGGCATGCACACTTTACTGGGAAGAGGATACTTTAATCACATTTTTAATCTTCCCATTGAAAAATACATTTTTATATACTCTTAATTTTGTTTCCTCAGTGCTTTTTTTTTTTTTTTTTGGCAAATGTTAGGGAAGTCACCCAGTGCTTTCTTAGCATTTCAGCCTGACTATGGACAACTGTGAAGTTTCATTGATATAATTTATTATCTTCATTTGTTAACATTTATTAAGCACTTCCCATAGAGCAGTTATTGTCCAAGCAGTATAAATACAAACTAGCTATAATCTAGTCTAAACTGGATATAAGGGGTAACTCTTCTTTTTAAAAAAAAAAAATCACAATTTTGGCCAGGCATGGTGGCTCAAACCTGCCATCCCAGCATTTTGGGAGGCCAAGGCATGTGGTTCACTTGAGGTCAGGAGTTCAAGACCAGCATGGCCAACTTGGCAAAACCCCTAAAAATACAAAAATTAGCTGGGTGTGGTGGTGTGCACTCGTAATCCCAGCTACTTGGGAGGCTGAAGCAGGAGAATCTCTTGAACCTGCCTGAGGTTGCAGTGAGCCAAGACTGTATCACTGCACTCCAGCCTGGGAACAGAGCAAGACTCCATCTCAAAAAAGAAAAAAAATCACAATTTGGACTAATTTATAAACTATCAATAACTTTTAAAAGGAAAAATACAAATTTAGTTGTTTCTAAACTTTTCTTGCACAATAGTTTTTTTCTGATAGACAATCTTAGCTACTTTTCTCATGATGCTGCTGGCTCAGAAATGGTTTTTACAAATTATTGAGGATCTATTATGTGCTAAGTGCTAATGGTTTCAGAGGTGAAAATAAAGTCAAGGTTTCTGCTTTCATAAAGCTGAGATATTTAGAAACCTAGAATTAAAATTTAGATTCCTGCTTTCAGAAACTTATGAAACATCGATGCCACACACTGGGAAATTTTTGCATATTTCTTTTGATTGTACTCAGCAAGATCATCTGTCTGTAAAAACTGGTACTGTTTCTAAAATATTGTTCATTTACTAAAAATTAAACAAAAACACTTACATATTGGAAATTTATTAAATCCCATTGCTATAGACCAGGCTTTCATATCTGGATAAAAATGAGCTAAGAACCAAGTAGCACATTACCAAAGATAAAAAATAATATCTTTCATTCAGAGTGTAATTTCCTGTGAAAATGATAACTCAACCAAAACCTTAACTTCAAGTTCATTAAAACATCTTTTATTGTCAAAGATATTCTGTAATATTTAAGTTCCAGAGTCAATAATTAACTTTTAATGTGAAATGAAGAAACATCAGAATAATCCCTTTGCAGGGATTGTTTGGTGTTTAGAATAGCACCAGAGAAAAAAGTCCATTTTCAATTTAAAAATCACTGGGTTCTACAAAGGCATAAACATAGATATAGGCATAAAATTCCAACTTCAAAACAATGAAACTTGAGACACATTCAGTAAATTCCTCTTTCCTCCCAGCTGGCTTATGTAAACAGGTATTGTGACGCCTCATTAGTGGATCAGGTATAGCTATTTAAAGACACAAATGAGCAGTTGAATCATATTTCAAGGCTGCAATGGACCTTGGTTTACAAAGTTGAACTCCCATATTGTTAGAGTGACACTGAGGTCTAACGAAGGGAAGTGGCTTATTCACATTGACATCATTGGCAAGTGGCAGTCTGACCACCACAAGTCAGGTTTTCTCAAACTGAATGGACCCGGTAGAGTTTGGCTATGAATAATAAAAATAATAATTTTGGGGTACTTAAAAATACAGGTCCCTGGGCCTTATCTTCAGATATTCACATTGGGTGGAGCTGGGAAGTTACCCAGAATTTACTGTTGATGATACTACACCTGATCTGAGAACTACACTCGAAGAACACTATACAAATTCTTTAAGACTTAACTGTTTTCAAAATAAAATGGGAAGTAGTGTGAGAATTTCAAATCATAGCTTTAAAGACATTGTTTTTCTCCCCACTGCTTCTCAGATATTCATGTGTTCATGTCAAGCACACAATCAACAAAAGTCAAGGTCTGTTGACTGTCCAGGCATGACTGTGAGTGTCACAAGGAGCTCCTGCAAAGGGTTGGAAATATGAGCCTCTGGCCATTTTCTCACGTTAAAAAATTATCTGGCTAATGTATTTGTAAGGCAGTGAGAGGATTATTTCATTCCAGGAAATATCTGAAACTGTAAAATTGTGTAAACTATTAATGTTTTATTTCTAATAAAAATAAAATTTTCACATTTACAGATTTGCTTTTCAATAATGTATTCACTTATTTATTCAATGAACATTTTCTGAATATCTACCAACCAAGCCTTTAGTCAACATCTGCTGCATCATAAATGTCTTCAAAATGTCTCCCAAAACAGACTAGATAATTAATTAATTGAAAAATGATACTGGAAGTTGTAGGGATTGGGGGGGGGAATTCTATTACCTTATACACTGTATTTATGATTACAATAAAACATACAAAAATGTTTTTATATTAATATAATACTAAAGAAGGTCAATGTTTGCAACTATTTTAACAGGCTTCTGAATTATAGAAAATTTACTTAGGTGCAATAACAAAGCAGTGATTGAAATCACAGTTAACTCAAATAGAAAATAAACTTCATAGGTTACAATTTATATTAAGCCCAATAATTCAATTATAATGACATTCTTTGGATTTACATTTAGCCTTATATAATTCTTTACGAACTCTCTACAAAGCATATATGAAGCTTGAATGAAGCAGGTCCCAAATTTTAATTAACCCGGATGAAATACCACAGATTACTGATTTAACTCAATTGAGAATATGGGATTATCATCTCTAAATCAAAGATGACCCCACAGGATTTACCATTATGCTTTTGAGTATGTATTCATATCCTGTCATTTCAGATTATTTTGACGTATTTGTTGTTTCTCCATCTTGTTGTAAAAAGAGTTTAAGTCTGTCATTTCAAATTAAGGTTTGCTTTTCAGACTTTTTTCTGGTAAAAGAAGTAGTTGTATCTCCATCAATAGATTCTGTCCGTGGCTTTACTTTATTTTCTGGAGGGCACTGCAAAGGATTCCAATTTCACCTACAAAGAAAAACACCATCAAAATGGGCCACTCATATAACAAACAAACACTCTGCAAGTGTCCACAGTGCAAAGCACCAGGGGATAAGTGGGCTTCCTGGATAAGCCGGATACCACCCTAACTTTCAAGGAGTTTACAGCTTCATTATGGTATAAATACTTGTATGTTTCAGAAAGTGCCAGAGCTGTTAATGTAATCAGCATCCCTTTTCCATAGGTCATTTCCCAGGGAAGGACTTAACAGTTCTCTCTCCAGGCAAATCATTAGCTGTTGTGTTTCTCTTTTACATTACCATCTATGGATACTTCAAGAAGTGAAATCATTGAAGCTAAAAGTATGGTTCACACAAAACTCTAGTGTCAGAATCACCTGAGGTCTCTATAAACTCCCAGGAGTTATCACAAATTTGGTAAAGTTAGCCTTGGCTATTAATTTTCAGCTAGCTCTTCATTTAATTCTTATGCACATTCAAATTTAAGAATCCATGGTCTAAGCAGATAACTCAGTCTATATGGCTAGATCACTGGATGAAGGTGTGATGCAGCCTTCCATTTATGTCATGTTCTCACATACCAAGAGGATGTGAGGCAGATATGGATAAGATATAGTGTGGCTCTTCATGGAACTGGAAGGAGCCTTGGATGCAGACAAGCCTCGCTCCCTCCTAGAGCTTGAGGGAACAGAAGTACAGAGAGGTGGTGAGGACTCATATAAGGTCACATGGCTCTAAGGACCCTTCATTTTCTAAATTTGTTTTTCTGTGAGTTTAAAAATGCCTTTATAAATTATAGCCTGTGGAGTTAATTTTGCCTTTTCAGGGCAAATGAGGAAGAGCAAAAACATGTATGGCCTTCTCTCTCGGTCTTATATTCTAGCTTCTAGAGCCGTCAGCTTGCTTCCTTAATGAGCAAACCTACTCCAGCTGAGCATCCAGGATAGCATCTGTGGGGATGAGTCAGCCTAGGGCTTTTCAAAATAGCAGATCACAGGTGGCCACATCTAATGGACGATGATGGTAATGGCTAGTTTTGGCCCTCTGCATTAGAAGTGGCCCTAGACAATGCAAAAGGAGTACTGGAGAAACTCTTCAAGCTCATCTGCCCTTTTGGCCTTCATTGACATTACATAAAAAAGGAAATGCTCCACCCTGATCTGTCCTAGAATTTCTCTCTTTAGGTTCCTTCCTTTGGTAGTTTCATCCATTCTTTCAATAGCTCTTAGGTACCTGATATAATTTTTAGAAATAGGGCCAGGTTCTGGGGATAGGGGTAGGTGCAGTGAATCTGACATGGCTCTCTGCTCAGGTCTAGTTGGAGAGAGAGACAAGAAAATGATTATAAAACAATATAGTGATAAGTCATCCGAGAGAGAGGTCTGTAGGAATGCAGAGACACAGGAAGGACATACAAACCAGTGTTCCTACACAAAGAGATATCTATGCAAGATGTCAAAAGTGAACTGGAGTTGGATGCATGCCCAAGTAAATGAAAGTGGAAAGGAGAATATTTTATACATAAAGAATTGCATGGGCAAGGGTTAGGAGCCAGCATGAGAACTAAAAATTGATCAGTGTTGCTGGAAGATGAGATAATCGGGTGATGAATGAGGTAACCCTGTGATGTTCTTAAAAGCAACTATTATAATATTCTCATTAAGAAGGAAGAGTGGAAGGCCAACACATGAGCCACTGGACAGCTTATGAAGTGGATAGAGCCAGGCAGAGTGATACCAACTGGACACTTTTGGTAGAAGAGATGGAGAGGTTAAGGAGAAAAAGGAACATGGCAGTGACAGGCCAAGTGTGGAAAGGTGGAATGATGGTGGGAGACGGAGTGGAATCTAGGAAGGTCAAAGGAAAAAGGACACGAAGGTACTTCTGATCTTTTTGCCAAGTTCTTCTCCATCAATAAACTCATGGCTTACATGGAGATGCTTTTCTCCTTAAATATTTCAATATATTTCTTTTTGTTCCTATGGCGATGGTAGGGAAACGGTCTTCTTTCACTGAGAAACAGAGTGGCATCATAAGGTATAAATTACTTACTGTTAATGGAATCAGCCAAAATCTTAAGCTGCTGGGTATTGTCCAAGACCTCAATCCTTTGGGTGTATGGGTCATAGTGAACTGAGAAGGGCCGAGGGATTGTGGCAGCAAAGTTCCTAAAACCAAAACCACAGACTTGAATGAAGGACACCATTTGGAGAAAGGTAATGATGCATGCGTTCTCAGTGGCATTTTACTTCTCTTTTAGGAATGTGGACACCTCCCTAGAACAAGGGCTTCAAAGGCCAGGGCTGAGAAGGGGGGTGGAATTTTTGTGAGTCTTCTTGGGAAGCGTGTGTGTGTGTGTGTGTGTGTATGTGTGTACAAACACACATATACACATATTTATTTAGTCACCTATCTCTAAGAAGACAGAAATAGCTTATAATGAAAGCACTGAAGACAATAAAGCCACAAACTCCTATCATTAAATTAAATCAATAGTGAGTAAACTCTAGCTAAAGAATGCTATATAGAGGGAAAAAAGCTCTGAAATGCTTGACAATCAATGCAGAGGGAAATAGCTCTAAAGAGGTGAAGAAAGCACTGTATTAATAATGAAATTTAACATGGATGAAATACCTTCTAGGTTGCAAGATCTTTGTTAAGTTCTAACTGCCATATGCTCTTTACAAATAGCTTTCCTTATTTAACCTTCACAAAAATGTTGGGAGAAAGGCACCATTACTATGCCCATTTTGTGGATGAGGAAACTGAGGCTCAGGAAGGCTATGTGACTACTAAGACTGTACAGTAAGAAAATTGCACAACTGGGAAGGAATGCAGGCAGTCAGACTCTGGCCTGGGCCCTTTGCTTTCTTGCCTTCCCAATGCCTTACTCCTGAATCTGGGAGAAATCCACCATGAGGGCCTCTGAGGGACATCATGCAATACCATTAATAAGATATTCTAAGGTAATCACAAATTTCTAAGTTGTCCTCTGGTGAATGTATAAGCTGCTGTACTGTAAAAAAAAATAGTTATGAATCTCCAAGCTTGGCAAGAGTGGCTCCCCAAGTTCCAAGTGCAAGCTGTCTGGGCTGAAACCCTGCCTCTGCCTATCACAGTCCTTGTGACCATGGGCACAGGGCACCACTCTTCTGTACCCCAATTTCCTCTGTAAAATTGGAGCAATAGAAGTACCTTTCCCATGAGGTTATAGCAAGTACTGTTATAGTATCAAGCATGTGCCCCATGAGTGTTGCTACCTTTCATGAAGAACAAATGGTCAAGTACATATTTCCACCTCTTATTCTCTGAAGAGAGCTGTCTCAGCCCAGCTTGTGGCATGAGCCACATGTTACACATTTGTGATTTTGCTTACTCTGTACCTCTTCCTCCTTCTTCCTATAAAGCAGCTCATTTTTCCTTTGGGTTATTTACCCCTACCCTACTAGCTGTGTCTCAGTCCAGAGTCAGTATTCAGTGCCAGCTCTCCTCTGGCCAGGAGGTAGCATGTGAACCATGCTCAGCCAATTAGATCTCTGCCTACAACTTGAATCTTGAAACTCCACGTGGTGAGAATTGGTTTCTCTTGGCTGGGGTGCTTTGAGGGAATCCAAAGGGATGCACAGATTCCTTTCTTGTTTTGAACCCTCTTTTTTTTTTTTTTTTTTTTTTGAGACGGAGTCTCACACCATCACCCAGGCTGTAGTGCAGTGGCGCGATCTCGGCTCACTGCAATCTTCACCTCCTGGGTTCAAGCAATTCTCCTTCTTCAGCCTCCCAAGTATCTGGGACTACAGGCATGTGCCACCACACCCAGCTAATTTTTTATATTTTTAGTAGAGATGGGGTTTCACCATGTTGGCCAGGATAGTCTTGATCTCCTGACCTCATGATCCACCTGCCTCGGCTTCCCAAAGTTCTGGGATTACAGGCATGAGCCACTGCGCCCCACCCTGAACCCTGTTCTTTAGCGTTCTCTTTGACTCTGTGAGCCACTTATCAGCAGAATGGAATTTTCATGGTTGTTTCACTTGAGGCCTCAGTTCTCACAGGCCTATGTCCTAAGCTCTTCCCTGCTTCTCTAGGACTGACCACTTGCTGGTTAGAGAGTTGTCTCCAGGCCCATCCAAATGTGATCTGGATATGACAGGGTGCTCATCAGCACTGCCTCTAAGCCCCAGTGCCTGGGTCCAAACTTTGGATCTTTGTCGGGGAAGGAGGCGGGGATGGTGCTGGAAGGAGACTAGGCTCCCAGTTTGGGAGAGAACTAAAAAAGCAGAGCAGGAAGGATTTGAGAGCTCTGGACAGAGCTGGAGAAATAAAGTCGTTTTAGGCCAAACCAAGTGGATTTGTGGACCAGCATTTTACCATTATTATCTAAATACAGAAGTAGACATAAATTAAAGAATATCTATTTTAAAAGAAATAAACTTAGTCTTTGAGGTATCTTTATTTCAAAGGGTTCTCAAACAAATGTTAGCTGGACCTGTCTTGTCCCACAATCTTGCCTTGCAAATGTAAGGTAAATGAATGAGTTGTGTGGAAAGGATAATTTTTACCTTTTTTTGTGAGGGTCCTGGGGAGGATGGAATTTGGATTTGAAAGGAAGGACTAAGATGTGTGTTTATTTGTGTCATGAGTTTCTCCCTCATGTCCTTTTTCAAAAGTGTGAATTTCTTTGAGAAGTCATTCATTCTATCACCACTCCCCTCCATTCCTCTCACCTCTCAGACACCACGGATAGGGTTGAAAGCCAACATACCCAGCTTCATAGGCTCTCAAAGGCCTGTATGTCCCATGCCTATCATCCATCACTGATAATATTTTTTTAAGTGGTAACATACAGTGAGTATTAGAATATCCATGTCCAGGGGGACCCTCTGTTCAGTCTATCTCCTACTTGGGTCCAGGAGCTATGTACTCAGAGGGCCAGTAGTCTCAGAGTCCCAGTACCACTCCATCTGCCTCTTGCTGAACTGCCTCTGAGATTAATACCTTCACCAATTATTTACTGAGTGCTTACTCTGTGTTAGGTATTGTTCTGGGGGCTGGAGGAACAGCAGAAGATAGAACAAAATTTCTACCCTCATGGAGCTTACCTTATGTAATACGTTACAGGTTAATAAGTATTTCAGAAGCACCGGTGGCAGGGATGGGTAGAAAGAAGTTGATTAGAGAAAGACATATAGAGATTAAACTTGAGTGAAGATACAAAGCATGTACAAAGATTCCTCAAGCATGTTTTGTAGGTGTTTGGGAGGAGAAAGTGAAGAAAGGACCTCCTAGGTTATAAGACTTCTTTGATTTCGTGGGGAGACTTCTGTGGCCACTCTGCATGCAGGAGGATTCAGTATCTGGACTTGGTGGTTGTGTTCAACAGGGACCAGGTGGCAGGGATGTGTGCAAAGGTCAGCATGCCCAACTTTCCAACAGAGAGCAGAAGAGAAGGAGGGTGGAGAACATGGGAGAGAAACTGCCTGTGTTACAAAGTTGCTGTGGGCATTCGAGTCCACTCTGCCGGCCAACCACCCGCAGATGAGTGGCACCAGTCAGGAGGCCCCCAGAGCTAGTGGCTCACCTTTGTCACCACCTCACCTTACTTTCTCCTTGGCATCATTAAAACTCTCTGCCACGTAATACAGGGGCTGGAACTCTGTGACAGTGTACTTTTGGATGGCTGTCTTCTCCAGCTCCAGGGGAAGGACCGTTGGCTTGTCTGATAAGCAGTACTGTAGGCACCAAGTGAAAAGTTATCACTGTTAAATCAGGATCAGTGTTCCCTGCTGCATCCCATAAGCCATTTGTGCACCTTCTCTCATCTCACCCCAGTTCCTTCTACATCGTGGCCCAAATGCAGTGAGCCAAATGACTTTGCATATACTAGGTTCTACCCTTCATAGCTCATCTAAAACGTGCAGCTGAGGGAGAAAGTAGTAATTAATTCCAATTACTTTCAAGTAAGGTGGTCACTAGATAATGTGGGAGCCAACCACACTTTCTGGCATGTGTTTGCATACTCACAAGGCTGCATGCATAGTTCAGCTTTGGAATAAGTAGGTCCCTTCTCCCCAGAGATATGTGTACTTGCAATTCCATTTCTATCAGTAACCCTCGCAACCATAATCAAATCATTGCTGCTGAGGTACCAGTCACTGGAGAATGAGTTCCTAGGCTGCATCTCAAAATGGATACATATAGGGTTTCAACAATACCAAAAGCACAATAATGGTGTTCTGTACCCACCACTTTTAAATCCATCCTTGGTTCCTGTTAAGGTCGTACCTGTAATTCACCAAAGGAAGACAGGAGCCCAGCTCCATATGCCTTTATGGCATCTCCTTGTTTGCAGAGCCCAAACTCCACAGTAAACCAGTAAATCTGGAATGGAAAGTCAAGCTGAGAGCACACTCTGTGATGGTTAATCTTATGTGTCACCTTGACTGGATGAAGGGATACTTGGATAGCTAATAAAGCATTTTTGGCGTGTGTCTGTGAGGGTGTTTCTGGAGGGAATTGGCTTATGAGTCAGTGCACTCAGGGGGGAAGACCTCCCCTCAGTGTGGGTGGGCACCACCCAATTGGCTGGAATCCCAGGTCAAACAGAAAGGCAGAGGAAAGCCAGATTTGTATTCTATCTCTCCTGGAGTCAGGACACCCTGTTTTCCTGCCCTTGGACATCAGAAGTCCAGGCTGTCTGTCCTTTGGACTCTGGGACTCACATCCTACCACCGCCCAGGGATTCTCAGGCCTTTGGTCTCAGACTGAGAGTTATATCATCAACTTCCATGGTTCTGAGGCTTTTGAACTTTGACTAATCTAAGCCATTGACTTTTCAGGTTCACCAGCTTGCAGACAGCATATTGTGGGACTTCTCAGCCTCCATAACTCTAATAAGTCCCCTCTCAGTCCTGTCTCTTTCTCTAACTCTATGTATCTCGCTGGTTCTTTCTCTCTGGAGATCCTTGACTAGTACACACCCCAAAGAAGGAGAAAGCAGCGACTGCCCCAGTGCCATGGACAGGATTGTCCAGGTAGGAGTCTGTGAAAGTCTGTTCTCTGAACCAGCATGACCTGTGATCACTTCTTTGTGTCCTGTGTTTCACTCTATCCAGTCACCTGTTGAATCAAGTGTTGGCTGAATGTAAAGCATGATGGAAAATATCAGGGGATACTAAGAAGCCTCCAAAGGAGATTCCCCAACAATTTTTACCCTTATGACAGGAACTCCTCCATCTCTCTTTTTTTTTCCTCTGTGGTGTCAGCCAGAGTGAGATGCATCTCAGATGCTCTGAAGCTGGTAGAGTTCATCAGACACAACAGTGGGAGGTAGAAGATTGGGTAGTGATAGAATCAATGAGGGGAATATCCTGTCATCCATTATGTGTCACCTTGACTGGATGAAGGGATACTTGGATAGCTAGTAAAGCATTATTTTTGGGGTGTGTCTGTGAGGTGCTAAAACTTGGGGGGTGTTTCTGAAGTCAGCTTCTGCATTTATTTTCCTAAATAACCAAATCTGTCTCTTTCAATAGCTCTCAGACCAATATGTCCTAGACACCTGCCCTGAATAAAAGAATATGGGGGTTCTGGAGCTAAGGGTAACCCAGAACTCAGTTAGTTGCTGGAGACAGTCACAGTTTTGGTGAATTAGGGGTAGATTATTAGTTACATCTGTTTATTGGACTGGAGAATGTTAAACTTGGGAAGGCTGTCAGAGCTTAGTCAGTCTGACCTCCTCACATACAGGCGAGGAGTCTTGAGCCCAAGAAGGTAAGGCAATATGCATGTAGTTACACAGCAAATTTAGGGCAGCAAGAATCCATAACTCTTCCCCAACCAATCAATAATATTTTTTTGGAGAAGATGAATGGTGATAAGTCATTTTAATATTGTTATGGCAGGCAGTGTGATGCTCTGAATTCCAAGTTTATTTTCTTTGCAGAAGTGAGAAATTCTACTCAGCTCTGTAGCTTCTTTGATAGCCACTCCTTGTATCTCTGTAGCCTCCAGCATTTAAAAACCCATGTTCACAAAAATTTAAATAGTTAAATTTAACTAAATAGTTAAATTTTTAGTTGATTTTGAGATGGGCACGATATGAGTTATTGCATCCCAGTTTTAGAGATGAGGAAGAAAAAGCCACTTGTCCAAGGTCTAGTAGCAGCTGGTCAGTGAGAAAACAACCTCCTGGGAGTTTTAGCCTTTCTGATGGAATGAGTTCATAAGCTGCTAAACAGATATATCTTAATAATAGATTTGCAGTCATTGGCATTCCATAATTGATTTACACATTTTTATTTTTCAACTTCCAGGACAGGCAATGTGGCTAATGGCTGGGGTGGGATGTATTAAAATTAGAAAGGAGTATGAAGGGAGGAAATCACCTGCTATGCAGAGTTGCTGCTTCTATAGTCCCAATGGACAAATGTCATCAGATATAATCGGGAGAGGAAAGTGTTCAGCAAGAAGGGGAAAGCCCATTACTCCCTTGTGTCTGAGAAAGGAACGATCCTAATATATGCTCTGGTGTGAAGGTAGAGATGTAAATATTCCCTCTTCAAAGCTCTGGATCCAGATTACTTCAATATACACACTTTATGCCAAGGGTTTCCAAGGGCTACTATTATAGCCTGTTGGTGGGTTCAAGATACTGCTTAAAATGTAGAATGTAAACGTCTGTGGGTAGCTGATTTCAAAATCAAATCATTAAGGAGAAATCAATCAAAATATGAAGTTTTACTTGTGCAAATGCTACCCATTACATTCTGATTTTTTCCCACCAAATAACCTGGCTTCCAGGGGAGTAGCAAATGTACAAAGACCTGAGGGCCATAGCCCATAGCACTCCCATTATCCACCCAGGGAGAGAAGGAACTTACTGTGGCAAGTTTTTCAATGTACTCATCTGGTGCACCCAGAGAGGCAAGGCCAATTTCCTGTAATTGGGGGAAACAGAGTCACTGGATCAGTGGGTGTCTGGCCGTCTTTAACCTTAACTCACAGAACCAACCTGGTACTTGCCATGAAAAGGTGATGGATGGCCAGATGCCTTCAGAAGGGCCCACATGGACCCTGAGTGTGCTGTCAAGCCTTTCCTGGCCATATGTTATAGAATCACAGATTTCTAGGGCAGTTGGTCCTTTGTTTTCACTTTATAAACAAGGAAATGGAGGCACAGAGAAGGTAAGTGACTTGCTTATGGTCACAGAGTTCGTTATTATCTAAAGCTTCTTCTGGACTCCAGCTCAGTAATTATTCACCAGCAGAACATTCCTGGAGTGTTAAATGAGTCTTAACCACATACCCTGGAAACATCACAGGAGAACTGCAGATAAGTGGTGACATCCGTCCAGGCATATATATAGCTGGAGAGTCTAACATGTCATAGATTAATTCGCACCACAGCTTCTATTGCAGAAGTCCTCTACTGGTCTCTTTGTCTCTTTTACAGCACTTACTCAAGCCTGTCTTGTGTGCATGTGTCTTTCCTACTATACACAATCATTCATTCTAGAAATATTTAAGTTCATTCGATGTGCCAGAGTGTACAAAATCAGTAAAGACATCTTGTGGATTTTAGTGGAGACAGATGATAAATAATAAACACACACATAACTATGTTAGAATAATATGAGTTCTTTGGAAAGAAGAAACAAAATGAGAAAGGAACAAGAGGGATTAAGAGCTCCAGGGGATCAAGGGGAGTCTTCAATTTTAAATAGGGTTCCAGGGTAAGCATCATTGAGAAGGTGATATTTGAGCAAAGACTTGAAGGAAGTGGGGTTGTTGGTTTTACTGACATCTGAGGGAAGCACACTGTAGGCCAAGCATATAGCCAGTGCAAAATCTTGCATTTCTTTCCCAAGAAAAGGAAGTGTTGTCTGAGTCAAGAAACAGGGAGGGACCAATGTGGCTAAAGCAGAATTAGTGAGGGGGCAGTGGTAGGTGATATCAAAGAGGGATCCAGAGCCAGATCATGTAGAGTATTTTTGGGTGTTTTAGGGCTTGGGCTTTTCTTCTCAATGAAACAGGAGCCACTGCAGGGATACGAGCAGATAGATGGTCATGATCTAACTTGTGTTATCAAGCATTCCTTCTGGCTGCTGTCTGAGAATAGACAGTAGGAGTTGAGGGTACAGGCAGGACACCAAGAGACTGTAGGGGTGGAGGGTAGAGTAGGACATCAGGAGACTGAAGGGGTTGAGGGTAGATAGGACACCAGGAGACTGGAGAGGTGGAGGGTAGAAAGGACACTCAGAGATTAGGGGTGAGCGGGGCTGGGCAGAGTAAAGACCACTAATGGGGGCCAGTGAGGAGGCTACTGCAGTTACCAGGATGAGAAATGATCGCAGCTGAGACCAAGTTTGTAGCAGTGGACATAATCAAAAGCATCAGATTGTACACATATTTTGGTCAGATGCTACACATATTTTGAAGGTAGTACACACAGGATTGTCTGAAATATTGGTTGTGGGGTTAAGAGAGAAAGGAGTTGATAATGTCCTAAAGTGCTTATAGTTTGATCACCTGGAAGGGAGGAGTGTCTATGAACTGATATAGAAAAAAGCTGTGCTGGAGAAGGTTTGAGCAGGAAGATCCAGAACTCAGTTTTGCACAGGATGATAGACAAGTCTTAGAGACATCCAAGGGAAGATGTTGACTAGGCAATTCAATATGTAAGTCTGAATTTTAGGATATAAGTCTAGACTGGAGATATAAATGTATCCATCATCAGAGTAGAGATGGTATTTAAAGCCAAGAAATTGAGTGAGATCACCAGAGGAGTGGGTGTAGACGGAGATAAAGGCTATGATTAGACCCACTTTGAAGCAAGAAGCTACATGGTCTGGGTCAAGCCAGAGCCTGGTTCAGATTATGCTTACAAAATGCTTTCTGATTTAGAGGGAACCAAATTCAAATTCTTAGCCTAGATCTGCTGTCCTGACCCTCACCCATCTCCATTCCATCCACCCACCCAGACCTACCACAGTCTCAATTCAACTAGAAGCCACTGATAAATCCAAGACCAAAATGGCACCTTGTTCTCTTAGTCATTGTTCTTTGTGAGCCTAGAGCTTGCCTCCAAAAAGGGGCCCCAATATGCCCTATGATCCATCCCCACTCCATTCTGTACTGTAGTGGGAAGCAAGTCCTGCCTGGGGTCAAAAAGGAATGTTCTCAGGAAACTTTCCAAATGACTCCCTGCCTTGGGACTGTCCAGACTGACGTTGTAACATGTGGCACTGATGCCCCAGCACTCCTGTTTGTTGACTTGAGGAACTGTCCACTCTTCTGTGGAGTTCCCCAAAGTGGAAGTGGCTTAAGGAGGACTGCCACTCAGCCCCTGACTTGGTAAACTAGCTTCTAGCGGTAAGAATAAAAGGTTCCTATTCTTCAAGGAAAAGCCTGTTTGTTCTTTGGCCACAGTAACAAATCTAGATTTTAAAACTGTCCCAATCAATCAAAGATATCTTGGCAGCAGTAATCACACTTCTGAACGTCATTAGTGATGTTTCTACAGTTAAAGTTCAACTAATCCCTAAACACTTCCAAAATTAAAGCAATCTTTGAACTCCAAAATTCCCCAAACCTCACATAAATGTAACCTTGCCCTTTGTTTATAGAGGTTGCATCTTGCAAGTACAGTTCTCCCTCACTTAGCAAGCAATAAATATAGCTTTTTTGTTTGTTTGTTTAAAATATTAAGTGGTAGCTTCTTTACTTGACAGTGGGAATGTTTATTTCTCCCAGCTGAGGGAAAATGCCCATCAAATTCACACACAATCCCATTATTCTGAAATCCCAATACTTGGCTCAACATTTGCTCATAGGTCATTCCATTTGATCCTCATGGTTCCTTGTGAGGAAGATGACTGGTGGAGAGAGCTTTGGACTGATCCACATTTATTAAAACTGAGTCATAGGGTGGCTGACAATGTAACCCAGGTCACACAGCTGGTTAGTGTCAGGGTTGGAGTCTCGGTACATCAGAACCACATTCAGCCTTCTCATGATCCCAGCTACCCAACCATGGTTTTAGGCTGCCTCTCAGTGCCTAGAGATAATTAGTAGAATTATTTTGCTCATCCCAAAACTTTCTCCTTTTTGGCCAGGTGGGGTGGCTTATTCCTGTAATCTTAGCATGTGGGAGGCTGAGGCAGGAAGACTGAGGCCAAGAGTTTGAGGTTAGCCTAGGTAACATAGTGATCCTCTATCTCTACAAAAATTAAAAAATTTGGCCAGACATGAAAGGATGTGCTTGTGGTCCCAGCCACTCAGGAACTCAGGAGGCTGAAGTAGGAGGATCGCTTGAGCCCAGAAAGCTGAGGCTGCAGTGAGCCATGATTATACCACTGCACTCCAGCCTGAGTGACAGAGTGAGACACTGCCTTAAAAAATGCTTTGAGAGTTTGTTAACCGTGAAAGATGAATGAAATTCTAGGCTACAGCTTTGATGATGGTGATAAAACATGCAGCTCATTATTTTTTTCTTTGTCAACTGTAAGTCAGGATATCGGCACTGGATTCTTGGCAAATGTCATCTCACTTAATTCAAGCATATACACAAATAACTGCCTTACAAGGTAGAAAGTTGCAATGGCCCTGAGAAAAAGAGGGCAACACACTAAAAGACTGGAAGAAAGTGAGGTAATTCCTGCAGGGGAATCGGGGGGCTTTCCTGGATGAAATGCTCTTAAACCACACCTAGCAGGAAAACTGAGATTAAACACATTGAGGAACACACATATGATTCAGAAGACGAGTGATTCACCAACCCCATGCTTAACATCCGGAATGCGTACTTAACTTCCCTAACCACACATCCATTTCAGGGGGGATCCTGGTTTCCTCTCTTGCAGAGGGCATGAGGGCCCCTCCCTGGGCTCAACTCATTTGAGAAATTCAGATCACAGCCCTATAACTAGAAGGCTAAAAAAATCCATTCCTTACCTGGGAAAACTGGGCAAAGCTGCGATCTGAAAACAAGGGCACATGTCCCAACAGCTCATGGCAGATGTCACTGAAAGACAGAAAGCACAGAGAGCTTGGAGGGGAGGAAGGTTAAACTAAGACAGACTCAGTCTTTCTACATGAGGAATGGACAGAAAGAAAGGAAAAAGCTTTTTTAGGCTTATGATCTCTCTTCCAGGAATAAGTGCTATGCAAAGGTTGGGATCAGAAATGGCAAGGTACAAGATAAAAGGAATAAAAGAAAGGAAAAGTAAGAGACAGGTACATTGCAGGGCACAGCAGCCAAGGGTCTTAGGAGTATGCCCAGTGGGGTGCAGGGCAGAAGAGCTAATGTCCTTGTGCACATGGCCCCATGTACCTAAGTGAGCTATGAGTCATGAACGCTTCTCATCCTGTCCTCTCCCTGGTGTTGACTTGCCTGGGCAGATACATATGCTCAGCTATTCCAGTGGGAACTGAAACAAAAACAATGCTGCTCTTCTCTTAGTCTGGAGGGAGACAGCAGCGAGGGAAGAAAAGCTACATTTATTTAACATTTTCTGTGCTATGTCCATTTGGAATAGGTCTTCTTGGATTTGTAGAAATGAACTTTGTGGGCAAGGAAAACTAATTTGAATGTTCCACTGATTTTTTTTTTATAAGTTGCATAAGTTTTATCAGACTAAGGGGATAACTAAACACCCAAGTAAGAAGCACAGTGGCTTCCGTTCTGTACCTCTACCCAATACACAGTTTGTATTGGGTAGGCAAAGGAAGATACGAGTAATGTAGATGTATACTTAGGAGGTAACTGAGACAGCTTGGCTTCTACTTGTTCCTGTTCTCATCTGCAACTTTGTAGCTTTGATTTTGGAACTTGATTGGGATCTCTCATTCTCATTGCCAAGGGAGTCCTGAATCATTGCATCACAGGATGCCCAAATCTCCAATCCGTCTGGTCTATCTACTCGGGTGGAGAAAATCTCCAGAATAGATGAGTTTTTCTCTTAGTATTACCAGCAAACAATCTAGACAACTAGTCCTGTGGACCAGCCAGCAATGAACCCAAACCTCATTCTTGCAGTAGGAAAGGATGGAACCCGTTGTGCCTGGCAACTGGTAGCTGGAGGATAGTACTCACGGTTCAGGGGTGTACATAGGCTTGGATCCATGTCTGATGTACTGCGTGCAGTGGAAGACTCGGAAGGCCAGGCCACCCAAGAAATCGCGAGAGGAAAGCAGGCCAGCCACAGGTCGGAGGCGGAAACCAGTGCAAGCTGGGATGCAAAGAAGAAAGAAAACTCAAACCTCATCACCACTGAGCCAGAGACACTAGAAGACCTTCAGATAGTGGACTGGTACACATAACTGCCCAGGGACATGGGCTTTGCTGGTAGGTAGACTTGGCTTCAGATGTCTGCCTCGCCGCTTTCTAGCTAGGTGTTCTGGATCAAGTAAATTCATATTTCTGAGCCTCAGTTTTCTCATTTGCATAATGTGAATAGATACTTCTTAGGGATGTTCCAAGAATAAAAGAGCTGATGCATATAAAGTACACAGAGCCTAGTGCACTGGAAACATGCAATACATTTAGCCTTCATGACCATTTGTTAGGGTGGAGCAATTATTCCCTACTTCTCTTGCTTCTAGTGTGAAGAGGAAAGTGGTACCTCATTTCCCAGAAGGGAAGAGTATGGAAGGAGTGCTTTCAGCTTCTGTACTGAGCCTCACACAGTCCACCCCATGAGTAGCAGTGACCTGTCTGACTGGAGCATTTGGGAAGAGAGTATGAATATTATCAATGTAACTATTTCTGCGCTGCTCTTTCTTGATTGCTCACAGAGGACCTCATTCCAGTCTGCTCTTGGCCATGCAACGGACTATGCTCCATGAATTGGCAGGGATGTTTATCTAATCAAGGGGTAAGATATTAGCAAGTCCATTAGTGCGCATGTCTATATCACATTCTCTAAATAGCTTCATTTGAAAACTGACCTCTGATCACCATCTCTGTGGTTCCTGTATCTGTCTCCTACTTTGTTCCAAACTTGGGAGGATAAGGACAATGACAGTGATAATGGTAATAATAGCTAGCACTGTATATTATCTACCATATTTCAGACATTCTTTTAAGCTACTTTATATATGCTGCTAATCCCCACAATAGCCCTACGAAGTAGACAGTCTTATTATGCCCACTTTACAGATGGGAAAGCTGAGACAGAGATAGGTTAAAGCTTTCATTCAAGGTCACAGCCATAGGCAGTGTAGCTTCAAAGTCTGTTCTCTTAATTACTATTATGTAGCTTCCCAACTGCCAGTGTTACTATTTTATTATTCTTACTATTAGCCATGGCAATGGGAGTAATTAGCTAAAGAAGTCTTTGGGATCCCCCTGCCTCCTGCCCCCATGTTCTCTGTGCCTTCAAGTTGAAGCACACACTGCTTGGACCCTTACTCCACTGTTTATCTACAAAGGAAAGAGTCTCTAATGGAAGGGACCCAAAGGTCATCTAGCTCACCCCAAATCTGTCCTGGCTACCATTTCCCTCCCTGTCAAGTAATTTCCCTGGCTCGTTGCCTCCAGTGTGGCCCATTTCTGCACAGTTCTGATATATAGAAATACTTTAACCTGTAGTCTGTCTCCCTACTTTTTCTTATTCTACGTTGACACATAGTAGGTATTCAATATGTGTTAGTTCATTGTTCTGTTTTTGCTAAATTAACATCATCTTGGCAGAAAGAACGACACCTATTTCCCCTGGAAATGCTGTGCAGAGACCTGTGACTTAATGTACTTACCTATTGAGCTACTCAAATTTCAGTTCAGTCCAAATTCACTGAATACCTGCTGTATATGCAGCACTGTGCTGGATCTTCTCATATGCAGCATCTTACTTCATTCTCACAATTTCCCTTTGGGAAAAGCTAAAGAGTTGACACAGTGTCCATTTGACAGCTGATAAAACTGAGGCAGGTTTACTCAGCTGGAGAAGTTCAAAATCAGGATTCATACCAGTTGCACAGACTCAGAGCTCAGGGCTCTTGACATCATCCCCCCCAAAAATAGCCCTTTTTTACACAAACATACACTACTAACCCATAACCCAGCAGGAGCTACAGGGCAAAAAACAAACAAACAAAAAAACCAGTAAAGCACCTTGGGCTTTAAGTGTGAAAGAAAATACTTTTCAGGGACAGGTACACAGCAAAACTAATGGCCTCATGTGTTTGACTGAATGAAAGTAGATAAACATAGTAGGGGCTAGAGGGAAGGCAGAGGGCAGTGAAATCAAGTTTTTCCTGGAGGAATCAACCTGCACACATATCTATAAAAACGTGTGTTTATACTTGCTTCCACCTACTTATCTTTCCCTTCCTTCTCCTCTGCCTCGGTCCTCCCCTATTTTCTGCAGAGCTTTTGACCCTGACGTGGACTTACTCTGCAGGAATTGAGAAACGTCTTCCAGCTGCGGAATATTATCTTCGTGGAAGCCACAGTACTTTTCAAGAAGTGGAAAAATATGATTGTACTCGTAGCAAGCATGAGTTTTATACAAGGACTTGAGAGTCTTGAACACCGTACCCCATGTTTTCTTTTCTTCCTCCGTGTATTCCACTTGAGGGATGGGCTGCCCACTAGAATACAGACACAAAATAGGGGTCTCAAGCAGGCCAGAGAGGCACAGCAGAACACAGGTTACGTTAGCAGAGGGAGTCGGGGGCTAGAACCTATGAGCTGCCATCACTTGCTACAGCAAATTTCATACGTTATTTGAAAGAGAAAAATTCCACATCTTGATACAGGAAACATTATTTTTTTGATCCCACATGAAAGAGTGATTTGGTTAAGCAACGATACGAGCTGCATTGAGGATTTTCTCTCACTTTGGAGAAATCACTTGTTTTTTTTTTTTTTGCTCTTCTAATTTTCTAATTGCTTACCTAGGGTAGAAATTCACTTACCTGCAGGGGCCAGGCAGGTATCACAAAGCTGTAAAGTTGCAGAGATGAGGCAACAAGGAGAATGGGGGCCAGCTAGAGAATGCATTCCCTTTCTAAACGAGGGCATCTAAGTCCAATTAGAGAAACGCAGTATATTTCATGGTGTCAACTAAAGCCAAGTCTGAGATCACCTTTGTTTGGTAGGCACACACCTACTGGGTTTGATATTTCTGCTCCTGGGAAGTTATAAAGGTATTTAAATACATGCTAAGATTCCACATTATATACATGTATCAAAACATCATGTTGTACACCATAAATATATATAATTTTTATCAATTAAAAAACTAAATAAATTCTAGATTAAGGATTATAAATAAATATTGGAACAAAGGAGAGAAAAATATCTAAATCCATGCTAAGGTATAAAATACTGTATATCTTCTCTACACTGAGCTTGTTCAAGTGCATATGCCAGGCCCCATAGACCCCGAATCTCTTGGGGAAAAGAAGGCTCACATATCTGGATTCTATAAGCTTCTTAGGTGGCTCTGATGCAAATTTTAGTTTAAAAGTCATTAGTTTAAAAAGTCCCTTTGAAAACCACCTAGGAATAGCTGTGTTCTGAACAGCAAAAACAGATGAAAATCAAACAAAGCCTGACTTCAAAGACCAGTGACTATTCCCAAGGCTGCAGGTCTGTTTCCCTAACAGGAACACAGAGTCTGGGAAAATGTGAGACTGTTTATCTCAGAATTATGGATCATCACTGGCTCCAGATTAGGTCTTTCCTGCCCTTTCAGAGTTGTACCTCATCCAAACATATTAGATCACAGTCTTTGTTATTATCTACAGATGGGTGACAAGGATTAGGAAAAAAGCATTTTAAGCCAGACAAGCTCAGAAGGTCTTGTGGTAGCCAGCAATGATGGTGAAAAAATAAAAAAATCAGGTAGTTATTGTCCAAGAATGTGCCATTATCAAGGCCAAACACTGATACATCAGACGAACAGACTTTAGAAACAGATAGAGACTGTCCAGTCCTTGGCCCTGCCATTCCCTAGCTATATGAGCTAAGGCAATTTAGTAAACCTCTCTGAGCCTCAATCTGAGCAGCTGATACATTGGCTAAAAATAAGTAACTATTTGTATGGTATGGATAAATTTAAGTCTAATACTATGTACAAAGTACCTAGTATTAATACTGACAAATCATAACAATTGGATAATTGATCATTATCATTGCTACTGCTTCTCATTTTAAAAGAAAGGCATCTGTTACTCCTGCAACAAATTTCAAGAGATGGTGACATCCTGAGCACCAAGATATTCTGCAGGTTGACACTGGCTCTTCTAGGGACTAACATCTGTTTCCCATTCATCAGTAAAGCACCTTTCTCCCCTCTCAGTCTGTGAGGTTCGGGTGAGGAGAGACTCCACCCTTACCTTCAGAAGTGGGCATGTGACCACGCTAAGCCAGTTGAAATCTCTCATTCCCCTGCACTGTGCCTGGCTAAGAGATGGGCCTGTGTCCTAATCAGAGTCAGTGAATTCAATGCCAGAACTTGGTTGACTTTATTTGAAATAGACAGGACCTCTAACTGAGTTGGGGTATCAGCCTAGAGGTGGTAGGTTCCTTCTCCAAGAGAACTGAGGCCAATGTCTGAAAGCAAAGCCAAAGCAAAGACACTAGAGTCAGAGAGAGGCAGAGATGAGACAGTGAATCCTGGACCTGCCTGAGCTTAAACTACCCCCCTTAAACTCTTTATTTATAGAATCCAGTAAAGCTCACCTTCATGTTTGAGTTGTTTTGCAGCTGAAAAATATAAGCTCCTATGATCCATTTTATCTATTCCTAGATAAAACTTAAAAGCCTAACCTCCACTCCAGTAATATCATCAAAACCTGCTGTAGCAGCTTCTAGATGGTTCTAGACACAATTCCTGGCTCTTCCTCTAATTCACTGTTTTGAGTCTTTACTCTTATATGGTCTCTTGGATTCATTCATTCATTCAACAAATGTTAATTGAGCACTGTGACAAAACAGTCTGTTGCCCCTGATCTCACGGAGTCCACATTTCCAGTAGGGAGAGACAGAAAGACAACACAATTCATTAGATGGTGATAAATGCTATAGAGAAACAAAGGGCAAAGGTATAGGGAGTTTCAGAGTGGGGTTTCAATTTTACATAGAGTGTAGAGAGGGCACATGGCTGAGAAGGTGACATCTAAATGAAAACCTGAGGAGATAAGGCCTCACTGTTTCACCCTGGAGTCTTCCATTTAGCGTTCACATCATTATTTGAGATTCTGATTCTGCTTTTCTGCAGGTTTATCCAGTTAGCACCAGTCCCTGACATCTAAAGCAGTGACAGCTCTATCCTCCTTACACACTTATTGGGGCTGCTCATCCCACGCTTGATAGCAGTGGCTCAGTAGTCTCTGCTTTCCTGTGAAAAGCAGGAGAGTCTCAATTCTAACTCTGCCACTTCTTACCTGAGTGAGACCTTGGTCAATTTTTAAAAAGCAAAATCACAAATGAAAGCACAAAAATGTTAAAAATGTGACACTAAATAGACCATGTAAAGACAGATGTTGTCAAAATGAGAGTAGAAACGGAAAGGTAGAGTGTTGCCTTGTTGACCTCAGCTGGAGATATACACCTCAGTAGAATCAAATTTTTTCTCCTGCTCTGTGCAAGTCTGGGAATGACTGTGAAAGTGCACAGTGAGTATTGATTTCGGGGTCACAAATACACTTAAGCAAGTAGGCAAATTCACAGTAGAGTCTCCAAAAAAATAAGGATGAACTATACCAGATCCTGAAGTAAAAGACTATTTTGAAGAAGAAAGACATGGCATCAAAAGCTTAAATGAGATGAGATAAAGCAAGGTCTGAAATAGGCTTTGAATTTTAAAAATCGGTGAGTCCTTAACTCGCCACATGACCTTGGGAACATCAGTTAGTTAATCATCTGGGATTCATCTATAAAGGGTGAGAAATTGACTAAAAGTTTTTAAGCCATTTCTGAGAGTCCAGCCATCTATAGATGATTTTCAATAACCAGCTTAACTGATGAACATCCAGGACTGTGAGGTAATTCATCAGTTTTACTCTTCTTCATGAGGTTTCACATTTTTATGAGAAGGAAGTTGAGGAAGACCTGTCTCTGTCCTCCCCAAATCCCAGCAACCCAGAAGGAAGTAAATGTATTTTCTAAGCACCTCCTCCTTGATGATATGAAGTGTAGTCTCCAGACACTCAGAAAAGTGGCTGAAAATTCCCTTTGAGTTCAACATACCTGAGTTTAAAACCTGTGTCACAAACTAGCTACATGATATTGGCAACTTACTTAACTTTTATAAGCTTTGATTTCCCCATCTGAAAAATGAGAAGTTATTATTATTAAGGCTAAACAAAATGATATATGCAAAGCATTTAACAAAGCCCCCAGACACATAGCAAGAAGGTATTAAGTATGATCTGTTACTGCTGACTATCTGAAGGACTCTTGCCTGTACCTGCTTTGATGGTGTCTACCTGACTGTGCTGGGGCAAAGGTGGGGTTAGGGGAGGGAGGTCACCATCTTCTGTGAATCCTGCTCAGCAGGAGCCGAGGCCCAAATGGGCTTAGATATGACTAAGGGCAGCACAGTTTTGAATCCTTCCAATACTAGAAGTTATTCTGAAAAAAAATTCTCTTTTTCGGGAGGTTTTTCCATGTTGAAAGTAACTTTGTATTCAGTATAGAAAGGCCAATAATCTTCTCCATCTCCCTGAGATTCTATCAAAGCTGTCAAACTACTCTACTATGCCACCAGTGGTCCGGACGACTGTTAGGTTTCTTCTTGTGCATGCCTTTTCTTAACCCCTTAACTCAGTAACAGTGCTTGTCAAAACACTAAGTTTCCCATGGGAGCATTTCTGTAGTTCCTTAAGACTCAAAGCACCAAAGCTGTTCTCTTCTGAAACATATTTGATATTTGCATTTTCTTTTGGCTAAAATAGAGTAGGGAAGGAATATAGAATCTCAGACAGGAAAAAAAAAGAGAGAGAGAGAAAAAAAATCCTAAAATTATCCTTCACAGCTGGGTCAGACCAGATAAAAGTAGAACGCTGAAGCTTGGCTGGCCTAAAATCTTGAATGATTCATTATATCAGTAAAGCAGCCAGCTCCTTCTTGAATGTAAATGATTCTCTTTTTCCTTCTTCCCTGTTTAATGTGGAGAAGACCAGAGACTGTTTTATTCTGGACCGAGGCCTTTTATAGTTACTGCAGACACCACTGCCTAGACAACAAAGCTTGGGAGAGAGCAGGGCCCCAGCACAGTGGGTAATTTTGTTTTGTCTAGCAGCAATCTTTTTCAACGTGTGTTATTAAAGGGAGGATTTAAACACACACACATACATGCACACACAGAAGGTAGGACTAGGGGTGTGTTTTTCTCTCTTCCCCACAACAAGCAAGGCAGACTTACTGGCGGTAGTTGTAGGCAATGTCAGCAAACTGCTTCCGTCTTGCACGGTACACAGGATCTTTAAAACCCTGGGAGAAAAAAGACACCTGATTTCAAGACTTTGTAGAAAGTGGTCTGACACCTTTATGAATGCTTTGAATGGGGGCTCTCGAGCCACAACAGTGCATGTCTCCTTCCCTTGGTTATACCCTAAAAATAAAGTCTCAGTGAAACTTAGGATAAGTTCTCCTACCAGATATTATGAGTGACACATTATCAGTATCTCCTTCAATTTAGCACCAATCTCCCTGCTATCGACTCCAAGGTTCATACTGTGTTCTTTTTTTTTTTTTTTTGAGACAGGGTCTCATTCCGTCACCAGGCACCAGGCTAGAGTGCAGTGGCAGGACCTCGGCTCACTGCAACCTCTGCCTCCTGGGTTCAAGCAATTCTCCTGCCTCAGCCTCCTGAGTAGCTGGGACTACAGGTGCATGCCACCATGCCCAGCTAATTTTTTTGTACTTTTAGTAGAGACGAGGTTTCACCATGTTGACCAGGATGGTCTCCATCTCTTGACCTCATGATCCACCCGCCTTGGCTTCCCAAAGTGCTGGGATTACAGGCATGGGCCAACTCTGTTCTTAAAGAAACCCAGTCTACAGCATATCTGACTGACAAACCTGCCATATTAGCAAATTCATAGGATAAATGTCTATGATGAAGATATACAATACCCACTTAATTCCTGTTAATTGCTGTAGAGCTCTGCTGCGAATCCCCCAAGCATTTCCTAGCTAATTAAGGTATGTGTCTAGCTCTGCCTTCTAATTTCTTGATAGACAACCAGGTATGTGCTTATTGCTCTTGCAATTTTTTAAAATACCATTTATTAAGCATATACTATGTGCCAGTCTGTGTGTCCTAGGAAGTGATTTTACTTATAATTCTCACAACGAACTTGCAAATTCAATCAGTATGATTATCCTATTCTTTTGAGAATAAATGGTGGTTCAGAGAAGTGGAGCCATAGTGAAGGTGAGGCCGGGATTTGGAGCACTGTCAGTAACTGTCAGCCTTTACAACCTGGCAGGGGCCTAGCTCACTGAGAAGTCTGTCTCGGAACCTAAAAAGGATGGTAATAGCTTCTCCTCTGAGGCTGACTCACAGGAAGCCTTTTCTCCATGATTTGTAAGCAGCACATTTCTGAGTGAAAAGAGGCCAAGTGTGTCTTTGAGTGTTTGGGGTAGGAATGGGATTCCAATTGATTACAAGACAATTTTCCAGAAAAAGTTGATTTCAATCTACATTTTGGTAAGACAAGAGACTGGTGTTATTGCTGTGGTTCCTCCAAGCCTTTCCCAGTAAGCCATGCCATCCACCACTTTAGCTCACAATTTCTCTGCTCCACTATCCCTCCAAACCAAGGCATTAATGAATTCTAAACAAAGGCTTATATCACAGAATGTAAATTTTAAAGATGCCTTTTAAAAAGACAAATATTGACTGGGCATGGTGACTCACGCCTGTAATCCCAGCACTTTGAGAGGACAAGTTGGGCAGATTGCTTGAGGTCAGGAGTTCAAGACCAGCCTGGCCAAAATGGTGAAACCCTGTCTCTACTAAAAATACATAAAATTAGCTGGGCATGGTGGTGCATGCCTTTAGTCCTAGCTACTCAGGAGGCTGAGGCAGGAGAATTGCTTGAACACAGAAGGTGGAGGTTGCAGTGAGCCAAGATCATGCCACAGCACCCCAACCTGGGTAACAGAGCGAGACTCCATCTCAAAAAAGGGAAAAAAGAGAGAGAGAGAACTATTCCCTGATTTTTAGATATTGTTTTTTGTTTTGGTTGCTTGATGGGTTGAATATTTTGTTTTGGTGGAGGGTTTTTTCTCTCTATCTATCTTTGTATTAGGGTCTACCAGTAATTTAAGGACACAGAGGGCGATGTAATATAATGTAATTTCTTCTGAGAATCTGCAGCATCAATTCTGGCACACAGAAAAACTACAGACATTGGTTGGAAGAAAGGAAGGGAAGGAGGAAAGGAGTTAGTTTATTTCCTGGAATTTATTTTGAAGAAGAGAAACATCCAAATGTTTCACACTTGAAAAGTGAAGTAAAACTATTACACATTTTTTTTACTCCAAAGCTAAATCCAAGATAAATGATGTGATTATTCTGTTTCAAAAGATTTCATGACATGGTTATTACACAATATAACTCTTCTTTTTCCTAGAGCACTGAATGGTTTTTAATCATTAATCACAGAGTAGAAAGCTTAGGAATCTGAGGACTTAGAGCTACCGTTAGGCCTCATTTCTACTGGGTAAAGATAAGTTGGTTTGAGATGATGTGGTAAAGAAACTGGGCACCATGATTTAGTTTCCAAGCATCAGTAACAAACCCTTTTAGAAACCTGTCTACTGGACTAGGTGAAGAACCCTTATTTGTCTGCATCTCCATACTTTGGGCTCAAAATAAAAATGCAATGTAGATCAGTCATGAAGGTTTGATTGTTGCAGTCATTCTCACCTGCCATTCTCATTTATCAGTTAGTAGTGAAGAGCTTTCTCCAGGCCCTACGGATAACATGTAGACTTTTGACCCTGTAAGGCACCTTGGAGAAGGTCTATTTCTATATTTTGATCTAGACTTGAAAAACATAAAGCCCCTGGAGCCATGTGCCGAAAGCCCCTTCACTGCTGAACTAGCACCTCCATTTGGATTTCGTTGTCCTGCTTGGGATGGCAAGTTGACATCTGAGCCCTGAAGTAGGAATCCAGGAAGAAAAGAAAATCCCTTCAGTCCATGGATTTCCACTTCATCATGCTGCGTCTAGGAATGAGATGTCCATGAACATACCCCACCCCCATTGGGCTTTATTGCTTATCCTTCATGTACCTTACCTGGGTGGTTTAAGGATTTTCCACTTGTGAAAATAAAAGCTAAATGTAAAACTGTATACATATAATCAATTATGTCATCTATCAATTATGTCAGAGGGAATATATAAGTATATAAATAAAATGATTAAAGAAATACACCAAACTCTAACAAATGTTACCTCCAGGTAGTGGTAAAAATAAGTAACAATAACAGTTGTATTCTTGAAAACTTTATGCTTTTCAAGTTTTCTAATGTGACAATGGGTTTCTGTAAGAATAAGATAAAAAGGAAAATAGTATTAAACATCCATGTCCAATCATTTTAGTGAAGTAGCAGGAGATTCATACACTGGGCTACAGGAACACACGCATAGCTAACACGTGATACAGATCTTCCATGTGGGAAGGTTTCTAACCATGGCCCTTTCCAGATCCTGTTTTCTAAGAAGTTCATTATCAGCCTGCAAGGGGCCCCAGCAACCAGGTTGCAAGGACTTTTGCTTTCGCAGTTACCAGTAATCAGAGAGCTCTGTGGGCTGAAGCCCAGCCTCTTAGGGATTTGGCCTCACATCCCTTGGGCTACCAGATGACCACAGGGCCTTTGTGGGCATCCATGTGGAGTACATTCTGAATCAAATCACAGTTGGTGATGACTGATCACCCTGTCTCAATTTAGACTAATAGCAGCAATTTCAGTAGCACTGCATGTAATTTATTTATAATCACCCTGTCTCAATTAAACTAATAGCAGCAATTTTGGTTGCACTGCATGTACCCAAGTATGTTTTGACAGGAAAATATATTGTCAGTGAAGGAGTGGTGAGGGGGAGGGAGAGGGGTTGGGAGAAGACGGGAGAAAGGTGAGACAGTTCTACAGGATGGAAGTCCTGACATCAGCTGAAGTCTGCATGCAATCCCTTTTCCTAAGCTCACAAGTTTTTTTATGTGGGTGTATTGAGAGGTATAATTTGTATGGGGGGTGGGTTTTGGGGTAACTACATACATGGAAAAGTCTTGATTATACTTCTACACTGAGATATTTATTTCATCATTTCCTAATATCATAGCTGAGGTTAAGCCTCAGAAATGCTCTTTAGGCTAGTGAGGACACAGATTTTTTTTTTCCAGACAGAGTCTCTCTCTGTCACCCAGACTGAAGTGCAGTGGCAAAATCTCGTCTCACTGCAACTTCCACCTCCCAGGTTCAGGAGATTCTCCTGCCTCAGCCTCCCAAGTAGCTGGGACTATAGGTGCATGCCACCACACCTGGCTAATTTTTGTATTTTTAGTAGAGACAGGGATTCAACATGTTAGCTAGGATGCTCTTGATTTCCTGACCTTGTGATCCAACCACCTTGGCCTCCCAAAGTGCTGGGATTACAGGAATGAGCCACTGTGCCCGGCCAAGAACACAGATTTTAAAGTCAGAAAGGCTTTATTGGACTACTAATTTATTCATTCACTAGGAGCATGGCCTTGGGGTGGCCAATTTATCTCTCAGCGCCTTAGTTTCCTCCCCAGTAAAATGAGACTTTCATGGTGAGGCCACTCACCTCCTCAAAAGCCCTTCAGTGGCTTCTCATTACTATTAGACTATAGTCGAAAATACTTGGCACAGTCCCCAAGGCTTTGCATGATCCAGCTCTGTCTGTGTGTCCAGCCCTGTCCTGACCCCCTCTGGCCTTCCTATGATGCTCCAGATTGCACTGGTCTTACTTTAATTCTTTAAACACACCACGCCCTTTTTCACATCAAGGCCTTCACACGTCCTTTACCCACTGAGTGGGGTCCTCTTCCACATTCTTTTAGACAAACAAGTTACTACCTGTTCTTTCTGTCTTTCTGGAGTTCTCCAAAGTTTATTCATTTCCCTCCGTAATATGCTCCCTCAGCATGCTGTATGTCTCCCTTTTCAGATGGTTATCACATGTGTTAATAATGGTTAAACTCAGGAAACTGTCTTACTTATCACTGGATTTTCAGTGCATAGCACACTCAGCATACCCCCAAGTAGAAGCTGTTAAAATTAGCAAAACCTAGGAGAAAGTGAAAAAAATTACTGTGTGCCTTTTAAATATCCTATGAGATCACTGTCTAACAAGCTCACTCTGTGCTCTAAAGGGACCTATATTTACTACTTACAAAATTACAACCACTTCAAAGTAGATGCTGGCTTTTTAGAAGACCGATAAGTTGCAAAA